GAGGAATGTTGTTGGAATTTAATTGAATTGCATTGAATTGTATAACAGTTTTGGTAGTATGGCTATTTGACAATATTAATTCTGCCTATCCATGAAGATGACAGACTTTTTTTTCATCTTCTAAGGTCTTCTTCAATTTCTTTCTTTACTGTCCTGTAGTTTTCATTGTAGAGGTCTTTCACCTCTTTTGTTAGATTCATCCCCAAGTATTTTATTTTATTGAGGCTATTGTGAATGGAGTAGTTTTCTTAATTTCTCTTTCAGTGGGTTTATCACTGATGTATAGAAATGCATTTTATTTAAGGGTATTGATGTTACTTTGCTGAATTCATTTATTAACTATAGAAGTTTTCTGGTGGAATTTTCTGGATCCTCTAAGTAAAAAATCATGTAATCAGCAAATATGATAGTTTGAGTTCTCCTTTTCCTATTCCCATCCCTTTAATTTCTTTCACCTGTCTAATTGCTCTGGCTAGAATTTCAAGGACTATACTGAATAGGAGTAGTGAAAGAGGCATCCCTGTCTTGTTCCAGTTCTTAGAAGGAATGGTTCTATTGTTTTCTCCATTTAGAATGATGTTGGCCTTGGGCTTAGCATAGATAGCTTTTACAATGTTGATGTATGTTCCTACTATCTCTAGTTTTTCCAATATTGTAAACATGAAAGGGTGTTGTATTTTTTTCAAATGCTTGTTATGCATCTATTTGAATGATCATATGATTTTTATCTTTTTGTCTACTGATGTGATGAATTATATGTATTGATTTCTGTATGTTGAACCAACCTTGCATCCCTGAGATAAACACCACTTAATCATGGTGCACTATCTTTTTAAGATGTTTTTGTATGTGATTTGCCAGATTTTTATTGAGAATTTTTACATCTTTCTTCATCAGAGATATTGGTTTGAAGTTTTGTTTCCTTGATGTGTCTTTTTCTCGCTTAGGTATCAGGGTAATACTAGCCTCATAGAATGAGTTTGGAAGTGTTTCCTCCTTTTCTACTTCGTGAAATAGTTATAGGAGTACTGGTATTAAGTATTCCTTGAAGGTCTTGTGGAACTCAGCTAAGAATCCATTAGGTCCTGGGCTTTTCTTGGTTGGTAGGCTTTTGATGGCATCTTCTATTTCATTGCTTGAAATTGATCTGTTTAAATTGTATATGTCCTTCTATTTCTGTTTGAAAGAGTATAAAATGTTGCAAGAAGAAAATTCTATTGGATTGTAAGCAAATTATTTTATAAACTGTATAACTTATTTAAATAAATAATATAATAATTATATTATATTATAAATAATATAACAATTATAAACAATATGATAACTCTGCTATAAATTATAGTAATAAATAAAATAAGGGATTGATATAAAGGAAAACAAATCAATGAAAGAGAGTAAAATGAAAAAAAAAAAAAGATACTACCATACATGGTTACTTTCTTTTCAACAAACACACCAAAGCCATCCAATGAACAAAACTATCTCCAAATAAATGTGTCTGGAGCAAGTGGATATACACATAGAAATAACTAATCTTGTTCCCTACCATATTCTCTATATAAAGATAATTACAAGTATGTCACAGACCTATAGGTGAATTCCAAGTATATCATAGGCCTAAAGGTAAAATTCAAAACTTTAAAGTTTCAAAAAATATTCTAGGAGAATATCTTTCAGAGTTTGACACAGTTAAAATTTCTTAGAAAAATTTTTTTTAAAAAAAAGAAAAAAAATAAGAAATTAAAATTTTTCTAAATTCAGTATTTCTGTTCATCAAATTTACAGCTGCTCAGTATCATTATTAAAGAAATAACAACATACAGAGATCACATTTTACCCAAAGTATAATGGTTAAATTCATATTAATGTCTTACTCTGATTTTTATCTCTTAGCGATCCCCAAAAAAAACCCTCCTACAGGAAGAGAAATGGCTACCCTATGTCTTTCTAAAGGCATTTTATGTATATCTGAATATGCAAAATATATAACTTTATGTCTTTTAGCATAAATATTAGCACATAATATACATAACACATACTATATACTTTGATTTATTTGGTATTCTATTCATATCAATATACAGAGATTATTCATTACATTTCTTTTTTTTTTTAGAGAGAGAGAGAGAATTTTTAATATTTATTTTTTAGTTTTCGGTGGACACAACATCTTTGTTTGTATGTGTGCTGAAGATTGAACCCGGACCACACGCATGCCAGGCATTCGCGCTACCACTTGAGCCACATCCCCAGCCCTATTCATTATATTTCTAATATTTGCATAGTGTTACATTTAGGGGTTTCAGTTTAGTATTATAAAAATCATCAAATAATTTGACTCAAATCTTCAATACTAAAGTTTTAAATAATTTTGTTTGTTATAACATTTTTGTACTCAAGTATCATGTGATATATACATGAAAAAAATAGTAAATTTATGATCAAAGGTAGCAGTTAATGTTAGTAATATTACTGCACCATGTAAAATCAGCTAGCACCCAAATAATGAAAAATATCTAAAACTCTAAAAATGTTGTAGTTACTAAGTTAAAAATATATATTAGATAAAAGTTTCTTTTATTGAACTCAGCAAATTCATAAGAAGTTACACACACTTTAGATCAACGAACAATCTACAAACAAAATGTCTTCACAAAAATTAAGCAAGAGAATATAATTTAAAGCAAAATGTTTTGTAACTTTCAAAAAACAATATGTGACTAAGAATCTGTTGTGTCTTCATTAAAGTACCCTAAGAGTAAACAGAAAATTTCAATGAACTATTCAATTTGTTTAATGACCCATTTTTTTTTCTTCCTATAAACAATTTTTTAAAAACATGATTTAAAATTGTTTTTATTTTTCCTTCCTCTCATCTTAACTGGGTTGATTGAAAGGAAAAACATTTTTCTTCTTCACTTTTAGAAAATCCATACCACCTTAAGACTAGTTTACCCTGAGAGTGAGAACTGATCTTCATGAAGGGAAAGAACTGAGAGTCACTTAGGATAGCACAAATTGCATTGGCCAACACTGTCTCATCTATAGCTCACACATGTCATTTCTGTGCCTGGTCAGCTATATCCAGGATGCCTGATCTTAAACAGTGTGCAAGTAACTCAGCGGGGTTAATACTTTTTCCAGTCATAAAGTGGATATTTTCCTACACTGAAGGTTATTGTTTTCAGTCTCCATTTTTATTTCCTAATATGGGTATTAGCATTATATGAAAAAGTCCAGCAAACACATGTTAAAAATATTTTAAAAAAAAATAGTTTAATCTTCTCCTTACTCCAGTTCTTCCAGTTCTGTATTCCATTTACCCAAAGCAGCCACTATGAAAAATATCTTGATTCTAACCCCTGGAGAATTATTCTATTATTTGTAAACAAATGGTGGTATATTATGTACAATAAACTAGTGACATCACACAGTTGTGAAAAAAAATTTCAGAAATGTATCCACAGCTAATAACTTGATTTTTGAGGATCCAAACCATCACTTCCATAAAGTGTCTTCATGCCTCTCAGGCCAGTCCAGCTGTTGTAATTACACATGGCAAAGTACTTTCAAAACTAAGAAGTAGAGCACAAGGGAGAGATTCTAAGGCACTGCTTTTGAACTGGAAAGGAAGCCACCTGGAGGTTCATTCTGAGCTTAAAAGAAAGAATTTTCACCACTGGCTTTTCCTCACTCTCAGTTTCCCACTTCAGGGAATGGAACTGAAATCCTATTCAGGGACATTTCTAAGAGACAGGAAAAAAAATGGAAGTTACTTAGGCACCATTGTTCTGTATCCAGACAAAAAGCTGACCAACACGTGGCACGACCTGGGGCAGAACTGCTATAAAAGTGTAATTCTCCTTTAACCCCTCCATGTAAATCATCAGAAAGTTTCCATCCACTGATTTAAACAAATTTGGTCCTTGACCTCTAGAGTCAGAATTGGCCTCAACAACTCTTTCAGATGGTTGTAGTATTGACTGTTTGATGTGTGTCAACTATCATAAAACACAATAGTATTTCATGAGCGATCTTCAAAAAATGCAACATATGTTCGAAGTCAGGGTAACAGTCTCTTTATTCCAAGCAAATCAGTAGCAAGAAATATTGCAGATTAATGAAATAATGCTCTTTGTTGTATCAAGATTTGACATCTTATGCAGCTGTGATATGTGATATTTTTCAACCAATTGCAACACCTGTCAATGTGCTTCCTATCGTAACTTCAAAAGGCTTCCAATAAATACCAAATGCTTGAAAGGGTTCTCGAGTGTATAAGTAGGAATTTTTCTGGGTCTGTGATTTTTGATACTTAACAACAAGATCAGTACAATAGTTCATAAACCAAACAGTTGCTTAATGATCTATCTGCAAACATTCAAGTCTGACAAATTGAAATACCCCAGAAGAAACAAAAAATTCTATTTGTTTAATTTTTTAGAAGACAAATAAAGCCTTAACAATATATTGAATGCCTTTAAATAAAACCTAAACTATATAATTAAAATAATATTTTCCAAAAAAAAGTATTTTTCTAATTTGCATAAATATTAATTTTTTCCAAGGAGTTTTCAAGAAGTTTCTACTGATATATCTATATAGATGTCTCTAGATTTTTTAGTATATGAATATATATAAATATATATCTATATAAAATGTATAAAAATTTATATCTCCAAACTGAAATAAATTTTAACATCTCTTAGTAATATTTAATAAACTGCAATACAGGTAGATATTGTATTGAATATAGTATTAAAATGTTTTGGTACTTAATAGTTCAAAAATTGTTTTATTTAATCAAGACCAACTGGCCTCATTGCTTCTTATAAACTTTGCAATATATATTCAGAAAAAAGGAATAAAAATGAACAGATGTTTCTCCTTAAAGAAGGCAGACAAAGATTTTTCTTACACAATAAATCAGCTTCTAGTGGATTTCCAGGACATTACTTCAGGCTATTTAGATATAAAACTTAAGGGGTAAAAAAAGTTACCTCAGTATGGATCCAAAATTGGTAAAGTAGATTGAACTGAAGATGAACAGCATATACAGAGGGTGGTATGAAGAGGGCCATGGGAGAGTAGAAAATCTTAAAGACAAAAATTAAAAATAAAAAAAAAATTACATACAGTATTTCTCAGCATAGGATTTATCAATGGTTCAATATTCTAAATATACATTTCTTTAGAAAATATACCTTTTTCTATATATTTTCTTATTATATTTGCATTGTGGCATCAATTTTTCACATTGTGATAAAGTTGCAGACAAATAGTAGCTAAATCCACTAACCTTCTATTTTTGCATTTAAGGTTGTTTAGTAAAAATGCCATATGTTGTGTATATTATTTGCTTAACCTTGAAAAGCTAGATGTGTTTCCTGCACATAAAGAAATTTCTTATACACATAAAATCTTACCTTATGTAAGTAAAAAAATTGTAGAAACATGTGCTTTTGTACCTTTGACAACCCCTAAATTCTGTGTTATCTGGCATTTTTAATAATAAAATGAGATACAATAAACAAAAGTGTCTTTGAATAAAGAAAGGATATAATATATTTTTCATTTTAAATATTTTTTATGTAACTGATTAAAGGTATCATAATTTCTAATACTTGGAAGTCATTAAGGTAGGAGGTAATATGTGGTGGCACAGTGGAAACAAATTCTGAAGTCCATATTTCCTAACGGATGGAATGCCTCTGCCTTGGAAAAACAAAATCTTTTGCTTAAACCACAGAACTGTTTAGAATCAACTAAAAAGCGCGATCTACTGTGTTCTCCTAATGACTTTGATCCCCAAGAATGGTTTCATGTTGGTAGAAAACATTTTATTAAATGAAAAAAAAATGAACAACCAAAGAAGAATAAGAAGAATCTTACATGCACTTTATATTTCTGATATGAGAGTCCACATTTCTAAAAGGCCAGATATATTAAAAACATTTCTTCTAAACATTACAACTTGATTTCTAAATTATGCACTTGAAATTAGATATTTACATAAAATCTTCTAGCTTCTGATTCTAAACTTAAGTCATGAAAAATATGAACTATTGGACTGGGGTTGTGATTCAGTAGTAGAACACTTGCCTGGCACATGTGAGGAACTTGGTTGGATCCCAGAACCACATAAAAACAAAACAAAATAAGATAAAAGTCATTGTTTTCATCTTTAACTAAAACAATACTAAAAAAAATCAACTATTATCACAAGCAAGGTCAGTTTAATTATTTATAAATGGGTTCCTGATAAATAGAATAAAGTGGTAAGCAAATAAAGAATATAGGACCCTTACTCAAGAGATCATCTTTTAAGCTGTGGTTCCACTGTAGACTCTCTTTTTTATATTCAAAATTTTCTTAAGCTTCTCCAGGACTCAATTTTCTCAGACTAGTGGAGTAGTAGAACACCATTTGAAATCTAATTATCCTTGGGGTTCCAAAAGATCTATGTCTTTATGACTTTTATAATATATTATAATAGGTTAATAATAACCATTGTTTACAACACATTTATGGCCTATGACAAAGGGATAATCTGGAAACTACTCTTTAGTATATGAGAAAAAATGTAAAACAAATTATTTGGGTGCTTAATGAATAGTTCTGTTTTTTTTTTAAATAGTAAATGGCAGATTAATCAGATTAATACTTATAGTTAATTATAATTTTTCAAATTCTGGGGAATAGTCCCATGAAATATTAACAGCAGTTATGGAAAAAGCAGTTCTACAGTTAAGAGGTAAAATGGTGGATTAAACAGGTGAAGTTTCTTTACAAAGAATTTTGAGAGCCTTTACCACACCTGTTAGCCCATGGAATAATTTCTTGATGAATTTCCCAAAGGATTAGATTTCCTAAAAACTCATTTTATGAAACAATATCCTAAACCTTACCAATCAGTAAATATAATGATGAACTGAATTGGAAAAATGAGTTCACCAGGCATTAAAAAACAATCACACTTTTAATAAGTAAGAGTATAGATTGTCAATAAGTCACATTCATTGAGTTATAATTTTTGGGATTAATATAATGTTACAAAAAAACCTAATTATACAATCAAGATCATAATTTTTTAAGATTCAAAGGAGTTTAGTAAACGTAGACCAATTAGGAGAATTCTCACATATCGTTTTTGTTATTGTTGTTTGTTCTTTCACTTTTAAGGTCTGGGAATCAAATCCTGGGTCTCCCATGTGCTAAGCAAGGACTCTACCACCAAGGGATATCCCCAGCCTACTTATCTTCTTTTCCACCTCAAATCTTAGCACTCCCAAATTGTCTATAGCCTTTAAAACCAATGAAAACTCCATTTCCATCATAAATCCTTGGTTGTACTAACTTGACTTAAGAAAAATTTTTCTTCCTCAAACTGAGTTTAGTAACAGTAACTGGGCCAAGGGACAGTATACTGTTTACCAAATATATCCATTCTTACCATTCACACCTATGGCATTCTGAGGCCAAGGCTCTTTAGCCCTATTATACTGTTTGCCCTGAGTTATTCTCTTACCTTAGACAGAAAACATATATAATAGGGTCATAAAGATGGAATAACCCAGACAGATCTGTACGTGTGAGGAAAACATGTGAGTAAGCCTAGAGGTGTCCCTTGTCTAACAGAAAGTAAGCAGATTTTATCCATTAGGAGTGAAGCAAGCACACCTGAGGTAATATCAGGGTGCCAGGAATCACATGGCCTGTAGGGGGCACTATAAGTATTTCAGCCTTGTTGAAGGTGTTGGAGATAGGGTAGCAAGAGACTGGATTGGATTCTGCTATTTTGGGGCAGATCCCAGGAAGTTCAGAAACCCTGAAACCATTACAATAATTTGCATTGTTCTAAAGAAATTATCCATCACTCTTATTGATTAGGGAGTTTCCAATGTGTCGTGACTCACTATAGAAAAAAAAAAGAAAGAAAGAAAAAGAAAAAGAATTTAGAAAGTGACTAAATCAAGAGGGAAGGCTTTTATTACCATTCTAAGTAATGGACATAAGGAAACAGTTAACATTCATCTTGTTAAACATGTAAGAAAAAAACAAATATAAAAATATGTTTGGAGCCTATTTCAAAAGCCCAGTAGAAAATGATGTGTTTTTAATCACATCAGCAACTATTTAATCATAGGAGTAGAGGGTGATAAAGAGGTATAAGACCATATCCAGATTTCTGGCTTGCAAACCACCAGAATCTAGGTGAGAGGTCTAGAAGTGATTCTCCCTCAGAGTATTCACAGTGAACAGGAGGAATAGCTAATGAAGGTCAGATTGGGGAATGTTGTGTTGAGATATACCCCCAGGAAGCTACGGAGTGAGCAGTTGGAACTGTGAGTGTGGAATCAAATATCAAGGAATCAGAAATTATCTGGGTTAAGCTTGCTGATGTGGTACCATGTAAATATCAATTGTATTCAAACTAATGAAGGTATCCACAGTGAGAAGATAACAGCCAAATGTGTAACTCCATGAGCACTTAGAAATAAGAGAGGAAGCAAATTAGGCTAAAAAAAGGACAGTTACGAAGATAGAAAAGATTACTTGGTGTCATTAGACACAAATGAGAAATTCTTACAATGGAGAGAAGATTCCCAATAAGTGTCTAAATAATAAAAGAATTTTTAAAAATTACACTGGATTTTCAGGTGTGATTAGAACAGCAGTAGACTTGAAATCCAAACCTCAGTAAGTATAAGAATAACCCAGAGGATGTGGGAGATAATACAACAGAGGGAGAGATCATCACTTGCTTATCTTTTCCCTGAGAAAAAGAAAGAAGAAACCTAGAAATATTCCTAGAATAAAACAATGAATGATGAAGGACATTTTGTATATTATGTTCTAAAATATGAGAGACATGAATATATTTATAGCTTGATATGAAAGACACCATTGAGAGGAAAAGAGACAAATGTGCTGGTGGGACTGCAAATTGGTGCAGCCAATATGGAAAGCAGTATGGAGATGTCTTGGAAAATTGGGAATGGAATCATTGTTTGACCCAGCTATCCCTCTCCTCGGTCTATACCCAAAGGACTTAAAAACAGCATACTACAGGGACACAGCCACATCAATGATAATAGCAGCACAATTTACAATAGCTAAACTGTGGAACCAACCTAGATGTCCTTCAGTAGATGAATGGATTAAAAAAATGTGGCATATATACACAGTGGAATATTACTTAGCAATAAAAGAGAATAAAATCATGGTATTTGCAGGTAAATGGATAGAGTTAGAGAAGATAATGCTAAGTGAAGTTAGCAAATCCAAAAAAAAAACAAATGCCGAATGTTTTCTTTGATATAAGGAGGCTGATTCATAGTGGGATAGGGAGCAGGAGATGAACTCTAGATAGGGCAGAGGGATTGGAGGGGAAGGGAGGGAACATGGGGTTATTAATAATGGTGGAATGTGATGATTATTATTATCCAAAGTACAGGTATGAAGACATGAATTGGTGTGAATATACTTGGTATACAACCAGAGATATGAAAAAATGTGCTCTACGTGTGTAATAAGAATTGCAATGCATTCTGCCGTCATATATAAATAAATAAATTGGTAAAATTGGAAAAAAAAAAAAAAGAATAGCTTATTGGACAAAATCCAAGAGAGGCAACCAGAGTCAGGTCACCAACCTACAAATTAGACTTGCTGAAGAGAGGTGAACATTTTCTCTAAAATGAGAGGTAAGAAAAGCATGTTCACCTGTGAATTCGCGAGTCTTAATTGAAGACAGGTGAAAAGAAAGTAGAGCCAGGGAACACTGGAAAAACTCACACTTCTCTGTGAAGTTTTAAATATGTTCCTCAGGCAGCAGTGGAGAAGAGATGTTGAGGGGGCTGTGAAATTCTAGAAAGGCTTTTCCAAGGCAGAGAAAAGAAAATAGAGTGGCCTCATGTTGAGCAGTCTCATGTTGCTGGCTTGGAAGGCAGTGTGGAGTTGCTGTGTCTGGAAGCCATACGTGGAAGGGCACCAACCTGGCCAGTGCTGGAGGATGTCCCCAGCACTCAGCAGTCTGGGGATGGGAGGGAAGATTGTGGATGGCACAGTCCTTCATGCACTGGGGACTTCAAGGCAGATTAGCAGAGAATGCAGGACAGGCTTGCCAGGGTCATGGGAATTAAGCATATTAATTTGTCTGAGGCAGGAAGTAGAGCCAGAAGGAGATGACAAACTGGGAGAAAAGGCAGACTTTTAGAGAAGAGAGTCTTTCACAAATACACTGCAAAAAGCAAAATGGTTGAAGTTTAAGGGTATAATTAGTTTGAAAGAAAAACAATTTTTTGAGCTCCAGGATTCTTTGTCTACTTTAAGTAGTTGAATCAACTTTTGTAGTGTCTCTACCTCTGGGATTCTCAATTATTTTTAAAACATTGTTTCACAGAAAAAAAAAAATTTAAATTTTCCTTCAGACTTGAGACACTGATTGAAGAATCAAGTGATAAGTCCCACCTTCTTTAATCTATGATTTTTAATGACAAAGAACCAGATTCTTGAATTATAGAGAGTACTGATCTCTATCCTTAGAATATACCTACTTATATTTTACGTGTTTGGAATTCTTAGTCATTATCTTAAAGGAACCTAGGCCTATGTTCCTGGACCCATGCCTCTTCTCTTACCTACTTCCCCTTTACACAATCCACCTTCTCATGTGTTATGGCCATAATCATACCACTATGGGTGGCATTATGTCTTCCCCAAAAGATATGTGAGGCCTTAGCATCTAGTAGCTCAGAATGTGGACTTTTATGGAAATAGCATCTTTACAGTAGTAATCAAGTTAAAATGAAGAAACTTGGTGGATCCCAATCCAGTATGACTGTTGTCTTACAAAAAGGGGAAATGTAAATATGGAGATAGACATACAGGGAGAATGTCAAGGGAACATAAAGGTGGGAACCACAGTGATGCATCTACAAGGCAAGGAATGCCACATGCTGCCTGCAGAACACCAGAATCCAGGTGGGAGGACTGAACTGCTGCTCCTTCACAGTCTGAGCAGAGAACTGGCCCTGCTGACAGCTTGATTTCAGACTTCCAACCTCCAAAACTGTAAGACAATACATTGCTGCTCTAAGCCACCAGTTTTTGGTCC